AGGCCTCACATCAGCAAAGGGAAGTGACCGACGCGACGGTCGCGTTCCTCAAGAAAATCTGAAGCATCCAGACCATCATTGCGGGCGAAGGCTCGGGACTGGTTTCCCACACCTGAAGCACGGAAGGACGACCGAATCTAAGCTCGAGGCTGTTTAAAAGAAACCCTCGACCTGGGGGGTAGCTGTCATGGGGGAAAATATGGAGGACACGTGGAGGGAGGACAACATGACACGTGGCCTTAACCTCTCATCGTAAAGCAACAACCCTCGACGTCTGGGACCCATTTTCCTCCAGTCGTTTAGAGCCCGAGTAAGAAGCCCAACTTAGGGCGTTGACTTCTTCTGACGTCGACAGATCGTACCGTCGACCTTACAACATAGAAGTCCACTGCCAAGAAGAACAATTGAGCTAAAAACCACTGGCGACGGGGGGAATGCCCCTTGAGGGAAAGCCTGACGTGGCAAGCTGCGTAAGGGATGTCCAAAGTATAGGCATTAAATGCAAACCCTTAAACTGCCCCTACAGGGGACAGAAAAGGGTTACAGCTGTGCACAGAGCCGTAATGGGAGACTAATTGGTTGAGTGAATAGTGCGTAAAAAGTGATTAGTGGGCTATGGGCTGGGCCTAGAAAGGGAGACCACTTGAGTGCTCGTTCAGCCTATAGGAGAAAACCCCTCCAACGAAGGAAGCTCGGCTATAAAAGGAGAGAAACCTCATACGGAAAGAGGGGTGTGTGGATCTTTTCTAAGAAAGCAAGAACGAAAGAGCATATTGAAAATTGTAACATTCTCAAGAAGGAATAACAAACCATAGTGGATGTAGCTCTTCATTTTATAAGAGTGAACCACTATAAATCTTGTGCGTTTTCTTACTTTAAGTATTTTTTCTTATATTGCTTACTACACAAAAAATACCACAAGCACATCAAATTCCTACACATAACCTATACTTAAGCTGGTAATCCGACGAGAAACCCAGAGGTAAACCGGCCTGTTTTTTGTTGGCAAAAATCCACCGTCAACAATAGTGAAATTCAAAAAGTGAGTGTCCCATCTTGTTTTGTGAATTCCCACACTTTTGTTCAGTTAATACCGAAGATTGGCGTAGAAGAGCTAAGGATTCAAAGGAAACGATCTGTTTGTTGTTAAAATAATTTTGAAGTTATCTGTCTAATCAAACGAACATAAAATTCTTATTTTTATTTTATACATATGCACATTAAATTAATATATTTATAGTGGCTTGTTCAAAAGAAGTTTTATGAAAATTTTTTGAAATATACGATCTGGTCATATACTGCGTTTTTGTAATTTTTTCACACTATTTAGTTTATGAAGCCAATAGTATGGTTTTAGCAACTTACTTTCTGAATTTTAATTTTGGCAAGTTACCCTTAACTTATAAAATTGTTGCAATTATACTTTATTTTGACGATGATTGTGTTAAATTAGTGTCGATAAAACACATTTGACGAAAAATTCTAACATCCCAATTGAAATGTAACAAATTCTTCAATTTCTCAGCTTTTAATCCCCTAAATCTAATGAAAAATTTAAACAAATTTAATAAAATAAAACACATTGTAATAATTTGAGAAATTCAGAATTAATTGTCAAAATTAAATAGTTTGCTTCATAAAGACTCTAAAGAAACACGTCATCTTTTCATCAAGAGCGGGGGGTTTTTTGTGTGAGAAAAATATTGTAGAGAACCATGAATCATGATTCATAATCAGAGACGAATACATGAGCAAAACGTCCTCTTACTTATTGAGTTGTTATTGAAAATAAGATTATAAATGTTGAAAAAATATATAAAAGTTGGAAGAGGTTTAGGATGATCGATAGTCAAATAAAAAATAAATGTAAAATATTATTGTAACCCCAAAGTTTCAATTTTTGTTATCGTTTAGAAAATTCAGGTGTTTATGTTAGTTAATTAGAGTTTTTGGTGCATCAAAACTTTGTTTAGCAAAAACTATATGCTTGTATGGAAGGTGCATCAAAATTATTTTATGCCACTTATAATTTGCAGGTTGTCTTTCATAACATGCTGTTTATTATTTCGTATCATGCTGTTTATTATTTCGTATCCTGCATGTTATTTTATATAGTAGCATCAAAATTTTGTGTAAACAGCATAAATAATAGAGTTAGAAAAAATAATGGTTAAGCTTGAAATTTTCTCTTTTATTAATTCTAAAGTTTCGCCACAATTTTTTTTAACTCTTATATACATCCATTTCGTACACTGCTTCTTCATTTCTCTTGTCGTTTTATCTTCTCGTCATGAAACTGAACAACATCGACCGATATAAAAACCATTTTTTATCAGTGTTCGGTTAGTCTCTCAAAATCTTTGGTTAGATTTTGATTTATCATCTGAGAAACTGATGACATTGGTCGATCACCGAACCCACAAATTTAGTCGGTAGCCGGCCGATGTACAACCCTAATTTCTACTGATTTATAACAACTTAAAATTCTCTTTTGTGTGGTTCAATTAGTTTTTCTAATACTTTTTTCTCTTAATTTTCCCATTCTAGATTCATATCTTTTAAGATATCCTATCACTGAGGAATATAAAACAAGTAAGGAAGCAACGTGAGAAAATCGTTGAAATATCTTTATAATGGAGAGGTTTGGATGATTAATACCTTTAATTAAAAAAGATATTAATCAAGAATAAGAAATAAAAATTTAAACTCACACATTTTATAGAGTATTTGTCTCCTTTCTTGAAGAAATATCTAATGAATGATCTATTATCTTTTTTTTCCTTTTTGAAATCATCAAAAAATATTTTAGGAGAGAGAGAGAATGATAAAGGCTTAAGTTGATAAAAGCTTTGGTTGAGAATTTTTACGGCGGAGCAAGCTATTTTGCTCCACCAATAAAGACTGTATTTTTACCGTTTAATTAATATTTTAATAGTTAGATCTATAACATGAATAATTATGAATAATACTTTGTAAATTTTTAATATGAACCTGTATAAATTTAATTGTTAAAAAATTAATCTAACAATTAAAAACAATTATCCTCACCGGCGGAGCAAAATGACTTGCTCGAAAAAAACTCCCTGTATAGTTGTAAAGAAAAACGTCATCTTGTCATAAAAAGGGAAAAAAAAACGACAACAAAAACGTCATCTGCATATTGGTAGTGATTCTTTGTTATTTAGTTATTGAGCTGTTATTGAAAATAAGATTATAATGTTGGAAGAGGTTTTGTTTTCATCTGCATTTTGGTATTGATTATTTGTTATTTAGTTATTGAGCTGTTATTGAAAATAACATTATAAATGTTAGAAGAGGTTTAGGTTGATCGATAGTCAAATAAAAAACAAATGTAAAATATTATTAAGAAAAAATATCTTTTAGTTTTTCTAATACTTTTTTCTCTTAATTTTCCCATTCTAAATTCATATCTTTTAAGATATCTTATTACTGAGGAATATAAAACAAGTAAGGAAACAACGTGAGAAAATCGTTGAAATATTTTTAGAATACACAGATTTAGATGATTAATACCCTTTTATCTAATGCAATTATTTAATTAAAAAAGATACTAATTAAAAGTAAGAAATAAAAATTTAAATTCATATACTTTATAAAATATTTGTCTCATTGTAACCCCAAATTTTAGAGCCGGTTTGAAATTTGAATCCATCCGGCAAACAGCTCCTATATTTCTAGAAATGAAAATTGTGCAATTGTTCTGAAAATTGTAATTTAGCCCCTTAATTTCCTCCTCTTCTTAATCTCTCTCTTTTCTTTTATTCTTTTCCCTTTCCACTCCCTCTGGTCGAACTTTTCTCCTCCTCCTCTTTTCGGAAGCACAACCAACGCTTTATTTCCAGGGCTTCACCACCGAGCTTTCCACTGAGTAGAAGGCCAATTTTTGCAATGGAACTTTTTGGAGAAATGTTGTAGAGCTCTTAAAATTTTGAGGTTGTGTTTTCTCTCATGAACGATCTTAATCCGACATTTCCATATTGAAAAAGAAAAACCCAATTAATATGACTAGTTCCAATATTTTGTGACGTTTATGGATAATTATTAAAGCTTTCCTAATAGAATTTCTTGATTGGTGGCTTTATTTACTGGAAATTTTTCATGCTTTTGTGTGTTCAGTTTGGTGATTAATGGCGGTCTCTGCTTGGTTGTGGCATAGAATTTCTTGATTGGTGGCTTTATTTACTGGATTTTGGACTTTTTGTAAGATGGGAAAGTTTCATTTATTCGTGTGCGCAGTTTTCTGATTAGTGGAGCGTTTCTTTTGGTTGTGGCATAGAATTTGGGATTTATGAAGTGAAATTTGGATATTGCATTAAAATGGCAAAACATGTTAATACCGTTTTTCTTGAGGATTGGCTAAAGGGTATTAGTGGGTATGGAAGTAGTAATACTTTTAGCTCCAAAAACTCCGTAGCTTCATCAGCTAGAGGAATCATTCAATCATGGGCTGAGCTTAGTGACTCCTTGAAAAACGAGTCATTCCATTCCCACCACCTCCAAGCTTTGAAGTCCCTTGTTAACTCTCAAGCTTTACTCTTCATGTTGCGAATCCACAAGCAAAGCTTGTCCTTTCTATTATTTCCTCTCCAAAACTCTCCCTCCCTCATGAATCCTACCCTCTTTTGCTTAGGCTTCTCTACATATGGGTCAGGAAATCGACCAGACCCTCTTCAGCTCTCATCGATTCCGCTGTGGAGATAATTTCTCGTAACTTATCTGCTTTATTTGATCATAACAATATCCCTTTCGTGTTTTCAGAAGCCGTGTTGCTTTTGGGTTCTCTTGCTTTTGTGCGCTCGGTGTCTGAAAGCTCCAAAAGAGTTTGTTTGGAGTTATTGTGCAGGCTGTTGGAAGAGAAGTATGCACTTATGGGCTCATTTGAAGGGATTGTTCCTGATGTGCTAGCAGGAATTGGGTATGCTCTATCTTCTTCTTTGAGTTTTCATTATGCCAGACCTTTGGCATTTTTGTTGGGAGTTTGGGGCGAGGTAAATGGGCCTCGAGGCAGTCTTTCTCATGGCCTTGTGATTCTGCATCTGGTCGAGTGGGTAATGTCTCATTTGTTTGATTTTCGCTCACTGGATAATGTTGCTGTTTTTTCCCGTGAGGCTTTGGAAGCCATGAAGGAAAAGTATGTTCCATTTGCTGTTGTTATGGCTGCAGCTGGAGTATTGAGAGCCTTGAATAAGTCTGCAGCCAGTGGCCAGCGAATGGATATACTATCAAGGCTAAGAATTTCTGCAGAGGATCGGATGAGTCTGTGGCGTGGTCTTTGATTTCCGTAACAAGTGATTTTGCCAATTCAGGAAAAGATCTTACAGTCAGCCTTTGCCTACAGTGTCTCTCATTGGCGTTGGCACGATGTGGACCAGTGTCTCCTCGTTCTCCTTTTTTTGTATGCCTTGCTACTGCGTTATTGACTGAAATCTTTCCATCAAGACAGTTTTTTGCAAAAGTGCTTGAAGCCTTGCATGTCAATTCAGCTGGACTGTTGCATAAGGAGCTTAAACAACACCTGGAAAGTGCTAGTGTTCTGTGCAATCAGTATGTCTCAGTGGATGAAGAGAGCCAAAATATAGTCGAGAATCTTATGTGGAATTACTGTCATCATATTTATGTAGAGCATCGGAAAGTGGCTTTGGCACTTCGAGGTGAAAAGGATGAGTCACTTGTGGATTTGGAGAGAACCGCTGAATCTGCTTTCCTTATGGTTGTAGTTTTTGCATTGGCAGTCACGAAACACAAATTTAACTCAAAATTGAACGAGGAAACTAAAATGGACTTATCGGTTCAAATACTGGTTGCATTTTCTTGTTTGGAGTACTTCCGACGCATCTGTTTGCCTGAGTATATGGATACAATTCGAGTTGTTGTTGTAAGCATTCAAGAGAATGATTCTGCTTGTGTCTCATTTGTAGAATCAATGCCCACTTACATTGATTTAACAAAGGGTCCTGGTATGTTCTTTGTCAAAGTAGTTATAAATTTCATGTGACATCTTTATATTTGTCTACCCATATTAAGTTTCTCAATTTGTTTTCTTTTCCTATTTATCATTCACTCGTCATCGTTTTTATATTATGTCTTGACTATATAATCTCTAAGTCCTTATTAATATGTGCGGATAAACTTTCAGTCCTCACTCTCCAGCGTAAAACGGAGTACATATGGTGCAAAGATGAGGTTCAAACTGCACGAATTCTTTTCTACCTGCGAGTAATTGCTACTTGCATTGAGCGTTTGCCTAGCCCTGTATTCGGGAAGGCAGTAGCTCCAACTATGTTCTTGTATCCTTTACAAAAGACTCGGTCTTGATGGAAATACTTTATTTGCATAAAGTCGATATTTTACTTCCTTATCACAACGCAATCAGATATTTGGGACATCCCAATGGAAAAGTGGCTCGAGCCTCGCATTCTCTGTTTGTCTCATTCGTATCTTCGGGGGAGGGTTCTGGGCAAGAGGAAAAAAGGAGCAGCTTGTTTTCTACTACATGCAAATGCAAAGATCATTAATGGTATAGGTTTTTTTTTCTTTTTTCTCTTCTTATTCTTTATCTCATAATCTGATGCTAAAAGCTTTCTTTGATGTGAATGTAGGGATATCCTGACATTACTCCTTTTGAGGGTATGGCTTCCGGAGTTGGGGCCTTGGCTCGACATCTTCCTGCCGGAAGCCCGGCCATATTTTATTGTATCCATTCACTTGTTGAAAAAGCTAAAAAATTATGCATAGAAGACATCGCTCAGCAGACTGATACGTGGAAGAATTGGCAAGGAGAGTCAGAGGCTTGCAAGAAACTTCTGGATTTGCTTCTACGGCTTATTTCCCTGGTTGACATACAGGTATTGATTTACTTTGATGCGAATAAGTTCTATCCTCTCTTGTGAAAAACGCAGATTAGCCACAAATTTTTTATTTTTTATTTTATTTTTTCGCATAAAGAACTGGCTGCATTGCACATCCATAATGTGAATATTTGCAACTTCAGTACTTCCAGATGTTGGTAATATTGATGAAGTAGAAGCAGTCAAAAAGATTTTCAAGTTTCAATCTTTCCTCGCGTGTCCATTTTGGTTTAAAATGATTTGATAATGCCATTTATGTTATTTTTCAGGTACTACCCGACTTGATGAAGTTGTTGGCACAGCTGATTGTGCAGCTACCAAAAGATGGCCAGATTATGGTTCTGAATGACTTGTATTCGCTAGTTGCAGAATCCGATGATGTTACTCGCAAGCCCACATTAGTTTCATGGTTACAATCATTGTCTTACCTTTGTTTTCAATTTAGCACGGAAAATTTTGTTGGAAGAAATTCGGAATTAGGAGGATGAAAAGAATAGAGAATGCAGAAAGAAGGGTTTGAGGCGTATATGAATACTTTCCTTTAAGGTTTTATTTGCTATCACTTCTCAAAGTTTGCTAACGAGTTCTAAATGGCAAATTATCCCCAAGATACAACAAACCCTTGAACACAATATCCAGCAAAAATATTGAGTTTCAGAATAGTTATATTCTGTATTTTCTGAAGTCTATCATATAAAGACAGGGATGCATCCATCTTCTTTAAGTGTTACAACCTTTCACATAAAGATACCTTTTTAATTTGATGGTTATCTTTTATATGCTGATGCACTTGTATCAATAGTTATTTTTATTGTTAATAAGTACTCATATATGTAAGAAAACATATCACAAATAGATGCAATGGTTCGAGATTTTTTCAAATCACTAAAACACACGAAAACACATTTTTCGTCGACAATTTGCGCTGCAGCGCCCAAGAGGTGCACTGCAGTGCGCGGGCTTAGCAAAACAGACTCGAGAGGTCTGTTTTGCGCAGGCTGCAGCGCGTCCGTGCGCTGCAGCGCACGCTTCTGTGCGCTGTAGCGCGTAGGCCTAACAAAACAGACCCGAGAGGTCTGTTTTGCGCAGGCTGCAGTGCGCTGCAGCGCGTCCGTACGCTGCAGTGCGCACTCCTGCGCGCTGCAGCGCGTGTTTGCGTCAGCCCACTCTTCCTGAATGTGTTTTAATCCAATTTGTGATATCAAGATTGAGAGATATATTACAATCTCTCTAACAAATTTAACCTCCAAAAGGAAGGAAAATGGAGAAAAGATTAGTTACGTGCAGAGAAAGGATCAAGTGACCCATAATAGCTTAAATGCTCGACTGTGAAGAAAAGAGGTGCAGTTGTTGGATTGCTCACCTTTGGAATACATAGTTTTTTTCCCCTCTTTCTTGTAGTTTAGGTTTATTAGTCATTTTTATCCACTAGATTCAGAATAAAAATTCTAGAAATTTATGCATATCTCTGTTGGTTTCTCAAATTGGATTTTCAAAAAAAATTGTGTAAAAGCGTGGTATCAATCGAATCACATAAATCAAAATTTAATGTGATTATTATTTTATGTTAATTTAACTATAAATAAATTAAAGAGAAGAAGGAGAATTTTACCATCGCTCAATTAGGACGTAAATTTTGAACTCTTCTAACACCGTCTTGAGCTCTTAAATTTTAAGAAAATCACGGTTCTTTTCAACGTATCTTCAAATTAACGTGAACTCGAACGTGTTGACGTTTTAATGGGGTTTTCAACACATGAGATAAATGAATAGAAATGTCAATTATAATTATGACTTATTTTTTTTAAAAGTATTTGATAACACTCGAGAGATTTTTTTAGTTTTACTTTTTGTTTTCTTATTTTTCTCTTTTTCTTATGTGGAAATCTCCCTTTTGTTTCTCTCAGCCAAAACCAAATAAAAATTGATTCCTTTACAAGTAAATGTCTTCTTTTCCTCATGCTGAGAGCACGTTTCCTCCCAGTCCCTTCTCTTTTTTTTTTTTCCTTTTTTTTTGAGTGAGGAAACGTGCAGCTGTTTACTTTCTCACACACACACACACACACACACATTAACGAGAGAGAAGAAAAAAACGTTTGGTGTAAAAAAAAATTCTATCTTTTTATAAAAATGACTAAATTCATCTATATTAATTTAAAATAATTTTAAAATAATTTTAATATTAATTAATCAATATATGTATTTAGAATTCTTAATTTTAAATTAATAATCATAACCCAATATAATACATTCAGTTCACATTAATCTTATGAAGCCGTTGAGAGAAACTATGAACATTATAATTTTAAGTTCCAATAATTTTTTATAATTAATTAACACATTAATTAATATATCAAAATTAATTCTAAATTACTCAACTATAAATTTAGAATTGCACTCTTAAAATTATAAAATAATTATGTTAACGAAATTTGTGTTGTCTATTGATATAGTCACTACATACGAATTAATCATCCATAAACGATTCATAATTAAAGCTAGGTATTTTCTGTGACCTCTTTAATTATATTTTTCTCTATAAGTACCATTGATCCTCTAATGAATAATATATTTTATGATCCAATCATAAAATTGAGCGCTCTTATTATTCATGTCTCAAATCAACACTTATGGGAACCGTCCATCTACTTCATTATGAAGGAATGGATTTCATCTTATAAATTAATATTCACGGCTATTTATTTTACTATGCTCCCAATATACCAAGACTTTGACACTATTCACATGTGTCATTACTCAATATGTCAAAGAACATAATATCAAATAAGAGTTTTTTAATTACTCAGAATTAAGATTTATTTATATATGACCATCATTGATTAATATTGAATACTCTATTTAATAACGGAATTTATTAGATATTCATAATTAATTGCGTTCCGGTCCTATATAATCATGTTACATAAAATGCTTTCATTCTAATGATCTCATCATTAACAATCTAGGATAAGATTATTTCATTCAGAATGTAATTAACTGCATTAGTAATTTTAAATTAAAGATGACAACTTTAATTTATAATTACGGACAAGTTTAGATTATTTTATTTCAAACATTATTCTCTACATAGAACACTTATATATAATGTTTAAAGTTGCATCTAAAATAATATAGAGATTTTGATATTTATAAAACATCACATGCATGCAAAATAATACTTAAAAACTTTCACATTTTATTGATAATCAGCAAAATATTTACATCTTATTTAATTTATGCAATGATTTGACAAACTATTAGCTAGTTGTCACATCTTTTTTCTCAACAATTTCATTGTCATTTGATCCAGCAGTGTTCTGTCTGCTAGGAATGACTTTGATAATAATGATAACTCTCAGATGGAGTATTAGAACGGATTTGCATCGTTTTGGACCCTCGGATTCCACCCACGATAATTACGGACAGGTCAGACTATGATAGGGCTTATGCTTATTAGTAATGTTTTCTTCTACTTTGATTTCTTCATTATTTGTACTACTTTGCCTTCAACTGAAAAAGTGCAGTCGTTATAGACAATTCATTCATTTGAATTTCTAACATTACTATTGCCATTGTCATAGTGCAACTTATGAACGACTGCTTAGTCATTCTTTTGTTGTGCTTTGCCTCCAGAAATCCAATAGTTTCATTCTGTCTCTCTAGTTTTTTGTACATGCTCCAAGCATGGATTGCAGATTCTGCAGTATGCACACAATTCTGACTCTACTAACATGTTCTGAACTTCAAGTGTTCTGCTAAAAGATGAAAAGAGTGAAAAAAAAAAAGATATATAACATTAAAAATGCAAATACATGGATCATTCCTTAGTTTCATTTATCGTTTTCTATATCCAAAATGTTTTCTTTTTGATAGAACTTGTCAACATACTTCATTTGAACGGTTGTCGACTTTTCATTCTTCATTTTTCAATGTTATAATATGAATTCGTTTACGCTTTATTTATTTGTTTGTTTTTTTTTTTTTTTTTTTTTTAATTTCTCCTGTAACATGACAGGTATGTTTTTGTCCTTTTTTTTTTTTCGTGAAGCCTTTAATTTCTCTCCTTATTAATATCTTTGGATTTTCTCCATATTTTCCAGTTTTTAGTCCATTGTAGGGGTGGAGCTGCTGCCCACTTGCCCGAGGGCTCTTCTTAGAATTTGGCCTGGATCTTAAAATTTTTGACATTTTTCCTTTTGTTTGCCCCCCTCAAGTTTTCTAATTATCACCTTTGCACATGTTTTTTTAAAAGAAATTTCAATTATACCTTTCATTTTGACTCTTAAATGTTGGGGAAATCGGGTATTTCCCACTCAAAAACAACTTCACCGTGAACAATACTTGTGAATAGGTACACGTGAGTAGTGTCGCTTATGTAAATAGTATTGTATAGATGAATAGTATTATACGCAGAGGACAAACCCGACAAAATAACTATTGAATATTGAAAACAAATAAAAGACCACCAGAATTAATAACGGAGTTCGGCTAAATATTGTCTCTAGACACTGTGGGACACTATATTTACTAAAGAGAAGAAAGATTACAAATTGGGTAGAAATTACAAAAGCCCACAAATTAGAAATCTATAGAATTTCTTACAAATTTACAAAAGGGAGAAGCTCTCAATTTTTGGGATGCAAAACAAATGAGGGGAGGCATGTATAGCTTTTGCCTCCCCCTCTTTTACGCGTGAACCAGCTGTAAACAGTTGGGTTCACTTCCTAAATTCAACACCGTTTTTGGTGCTCTCTCTTCTTCTTCTCCCTCTCTGACTTTCTCTTTTGGTTTTCAACATAAGTGTGAAGCCCACATTTTTGATAATGAGCCACCCATATTGACTAATAAATCTCCACCTTGACGAAATTATCAAATCTGTCTTAGAAGAGTTGGGAACCTTTGGTGTTTGAGGAGTTGGTATTGCAGAAGCAGCGGCGACGAGGCCAAAAAATCAGGTGGCAGTAGCGTGGTGGTGCATCGCGTGCGAGGAGAGAAACCCTAACTCTGATTTTGAAGGTAAAGAGGTTTCCTCTGAAAGTAGGGGTGTACACGGATCGGATTACGCGGATTAAGGGTTAATCCGCAATCCAATATGTTTATGTGAATTGGAAAAATCTCAATCCGCTACCAATCCGTTAGACTCATAATCTAATCCAATCCGAATTTGCAGATTGGATTATACGGATTAGCGGATTGACCTATGTTTTCGATATTCTCATAAAATTAAATACAAAATTAAACACAAACATAACATATTATAAAAGTTGAAGAATTTCATAATTCATTACAACACAATCTAACATAATAGATATATAGTTAAATATGTATATATAAAATTAAGAAAAATCTCTCATATATATTATTAAAAATATATAAAAATATATATACAGTATATATACTTTGGATTGGCGGATTATACGGATTGATAAATGTTCAATCTGCAATCCAATAGGTTACTGTTGAGTGAAAATATTTATTAATATTGAAATAATATCTTACACACAACATAATTTCACCTATAGTAGG